CCCCCTCGGAAGTCCAAAAACTCTGGTTAACCCTTGATTTTTTTCTGTCCTAAATGGCGGGCGAGGGCGCGGCGCATCCTGGCAGGGCGTCTGGAGGTTCCCTGCCCCCTCGGAAGTCCAAAAAAACTCTGGTTTAACCCTTGATTTTTTCTGTCCTAAATGGCGGGCGAGGGCGCGGCGCATCTGGCAGGGCGTCTCGTCTGGAGGTTCCCTGCCCCCTCGGAAGTCCAAAAACTCTGGTTAACCCTTGATTTTTTCTGTCCTAAATGGCGGGCGAGGGCGCGGCGCATCCTGGCAGGGCGTCTGAAGGGGCCCTGCCCCCTCGGAAGTCCAAAAACTCTGGTTAACCCTTGATTTTTTCTGTCCTAAATGGCGGGGCCACATCCGGGCGAGGGCGCGGCGCTCCTTGCAGAGGCGTCCTTGAAGGCGGCCCTGCCCCCTCGGAAGTCAAAAACTCTTGAACCTCGATTTTTATTATTTCTGTCCTAAATGGCCGGGCGCACGGGCGCGGCGCACCATCCTGGCAGGGCGTCTGAGGTTCCCTGACCCCTCGGAAGTCCAAAACTCAGCCGTTAAACCCTTGATTTTCTTTCTGGTCCTTAATGGAGGTGCGACGCTGCCGGGCTTCCTGGAGTACGTCGGGAGGGGCCCTGCCCCCTCGGAAGTCCAAAAAACTCTGGTTAACCCTTGATTTTTTCTGTCCTAAATGGCGGGAGGACGCGGCACATCCTGGCAGGGCGTCTGGAGGTTCCCTGCCCCCTCGGAAGTCTAAAAACTCTGGTTAACCCTTGATTTTTTCTGTCCTAAATGGCGGGCGAGGGCGCGGCGCATCCTGGCAGGGCGTCTGAAGGGGCCCTGCCCCCTCGGAAGTCCAAAAACTCTGGTTAACCCTTGATTTTTTCTGTCCTAAATGGCGGGCGAGGGCGCGGCGCATGCTGGGAAGGCGTCTGGAGGGGCCCTGCCCCCTCGAAGTCCAAAAACTCAGGTTAACCCTTGATTTTTTCTGCCCTTAAATGGAGGGCGAGCTGCGGCGCTTCCTGGGAGTACGTCTGAAGGGGCCCTGCCCCCTCGGAAGTCCAAAAACTCTGGTTAACCCTTGATTTTTTCTGTCCTAAATGGCGGGCGAGGGCGCGCGGCGCATGCTGGGAAGGCGTCTGGAGGGGTCCTGCCCCCTCGAAATCCAAATACTCAGGTAAACCCTTGATTTTTTTTCTTCCTAAATGGCGGGCGAGGGCGCGGCGCATTCCTGGCAGGGCGTACTCCTAAATGGCGGGCGAGGGCGCGGCGCATCCTGGCAGGGCGTCTGAAGGGGCCCTGCCCCCTCGGAAGTCCAAAAACTCTGGTTAACCCTTGATTTTTTCTGTCCTAAATGGCGGGCGAGGGCGCGGCGCATCCTGGCAGGGCGTCTGAAGGGGCCCTGCCCCCTCGGAAGTCCAAAAACTCTGGTTAACCCTTGATTTTTTCTGTCCTAAATGGCGGGCGAGGGCGCGGCGCATCTGGGAAGGCGTCTGTGCGGGGGGCCCTGCCTTGGAAACCAAAAAACTCCCATCGTCCCACGATTTTCCGCCCCTTCAATGGAAGGCGAGGGCGCGGTGCATCCTGGGAAGGCGTCTGGAGGGGCCCTGCCCCCTCGAAGTCCAAAAACTCTGGTTAACCCTTGATTTTTTCTGTCCTAAATGGCGGGCGAGGGCGCGGCGCATCCTGGCAGGGCGTCTGAAGGGGCCCTGCCCCCTCGGAAGTCCAAAAACTCTGGTTAACCCTTGATTTTTTCTGTCCTAAATGGTGGGCGAGGGCGCGGCGCATCCTGGCAGGGCGTCTGGAGGGGCCCTGGAAACCCAAGAACTCCCGTCGGGCGCGAATAATCAAGGGTTAATCCGAGTTTTTGGAGTTCCGAGGGGGCAGGGCCCCTCCATACGCCTTCCCAGGATGCGCTCCTAGGATTTATTTGCGGTCGCGTCCCGATCCTGCCACATGCACAAAATGGCCGAAATAGGCTGTTTTTGCATCCACTCTGGCTGAAACAGCCAATTTTTGCTATTCCGCCCGAGTGCGTCGTTTAGTGCACTCGGGCAGAAAACTCCTCCAAAGGGAACCCCTTGCCGGGTTTTTCCGTAAAAACTTGTTTAAAACACCCGGAAAACTCGTCCACCGCGTTGCCCGCTTCGCCCGCCGCCGCGACGAACGCGACCGAGGCAAAGAACTCGTCCGAGAGCGGGGTTTTTGAGGGAGGAAAACTCGTCCAACTGGAAATTTGAGCCGTTACAGGGTCCAGGCGAAGCGGAAAACTCGTCCACTGGGTCATTAGGTCCGCTAGGACAGGAAAGACCCCGCCCCGCCCCCGCGAGAGACTCCGCCCACTGGGCTGCGAACGGCACGGATAACTCGTCCAAGCGCCGCCCCCGTGACCCGAGTGTGCCAGTACGTTCGGCCGCCCCCGCGGTTAAAGAACATGCTTTGTCGCGCGCGAAAGACCCCTACCGCGCGCGAAATCGGCTGCGGAAAACTCGTCCAACATGAAAACTGGCCCGATAGGGCTTCAACGAAGCGGACAACTCGTCCAAAAGGGTCAGTCGGGTGCGCTGGAAGAGGAGCGACATAACCCCGCCCCCGCGAGAGACTCCGCCCACTGGGCTGCGAACAGCACGGATAACTCGTCCAAGCACCGCCCCCGTCACCCGAGTGTGCCAGTACGTTCGGCCGCCCCCGCGGTTAAAGAACATGCTTTGTCGCGCGCGAAAGACCCCTACCGCGCGCGAAATCGGCTGCGGAAAACTCGTCCAACATGAAAACTGGCCCGATAGGGCTTCAACGAAGCGGACAACTCGTCCAAAAGGGTCAGTCGGGTGCGCTGGAAGAGGAGCGACCCAACCCCGCCCCCGCGAGAGACTCCGCCCACTGGGCTGCGAACGGCACGGATAACTCGTCCAAGCACCGCCCCCGTGACCCGAGTGTGCCAGTACGTTCGGCCGCCCCCGCGGTTAAAGAACATGCTTTGTCGCGCGCGAAAGACCCCTACCGCGCGCGAAATCGGCTGCGGAAAACTCGTCCACAGGGAAAACTGGCCCGATAGGGCTTCAACGGAGCGGACAACTCGTCCAAAAGGGTCAGTCGGGTGCGCTGGAAGAGGAGCGACATAACCCCGCCCCCGCGAGAGACTCCGCCCACTGGGCTGCGAACAGCACGGATAACTCGTCCAAGCGCCGCCCCCGTCAGGGGAGTGTGTCAGTATGTTCGGCCGCCCCCGCGATCTCAAATCATGTTTTGCCGCGCGCGAAAGACCCCCGCCGCGCGCGAAATTCGCCGCGGAAAACTCGTCCAACCGCCGCAGCAGCCAAAAGAGCCCCGGAAAACTCGTCCAGACGCCGCCCGAGTGTGCCGTTAGGTCCGCTGGCCCCGCCCCGCCGCGAGAATTCACCGCGCGAAGAGCCGCGCGACGAGCAGGAAAACTCGTCCGGTGGCACGGAAAACTCGTCCAAGCGCCGTCTCAGCCAGGGGAGTGTGTCAGTAGGTTCGCCTGACCCAAAACATCCTAAATCATACTTTGCCGCGCGCGAAAGACCCTGCCGCGCGCGAAATCGGCCGCGGAAAACTCGTCCAACAGGGAAAACTGGCCCCATAGGGCTTCAACGGAGCGGACAACTCGTCCAAAAGGGTCAGTCGGGTGCGCTGGAAGAGGAGCGACATAACCCCGCCCCCGCGAGAGACTCCGCCCACTGGGCTGCGAACAGCACGGATAACTCGTCCAAGCGCCGCCCCCGTGACGGGGAGTGTGTCAGTATGTTCGGCCGCCCCCCCGCGGTCTCAGAACATGTTCCGCCCTCCGCCCACTCCGAAATACGCCGTCTGGAAAATTCGTCCACCCGCTACAGTAAGCCGACGTGGTCACCAGTGTCGCCCATCCGCTACCGCAAGACTGGACGCGAACGAAGCGACACCGCCCGCGAACGACAGACCCCGCTCACTGGGCTGCGAGCCGGAAAACTCGTCCGGCCGAGGGGTCATGAGAGCAGCAAGGGTCCTAAGGCGGGGCAACCACTCATGAAGTGCGGTAGCTAGCATCCTAAGACGGGACAGCAAGAGGCAGGTGAGGCGGCCAGGATTCCGCATTTTGGCAAGGGAAGGGACTCCGGGGTGGGGCAGCCAGGGTCCTAAGATGAGGCAGTTACACCTGAACCGAGGCAGCCAGCAGGGTCCTAAGCCTGCCTCGGTTCGAGGAAACGGGGGAATGCGGACTACGGTAGGGGGAATGCAGGACAATAGTCGAAACGGTCAACTATCTCGACCGACCCAGCGCTCGTGACGTTGTACGTTTGATGCGGCACATACGACTAGCATTCGTGACAGAATTGAGAACCAGGTTCAATGAAGTTCAACTGTAAAGCAGAAAGTGGGGAATTCAGTGCTATCTAACTCCTGAGCTGTTCATTCTTTGCAATTAACTTGTGCCAGAGGATCGTTTTTGGTTCCGCCACGCATTCCACATCATTGAATAAAATGGGTTGTTGAGGTAGCCAATCAGCTCTTGTATCTACGAAAATATGTCCAGGGATAGTGTCCATTGACATGCCTGAGACGTGTTCCTTTTTGGAACATACCATCTGTTTCACCGTTTCTTTGTTTGCTCTTTTTTCCGCTTTATTTACGTTCATTCTAGTGTTAACGTCTTCTTTTGCTGTACATATTTCAACAAAGCAACTCAATACAATCACATTAGGGTAACAATACAGCTTACAGCAATAGGGTAACAATACAGCTTACAGCAATACATACGAGGGTTCTCCTACGAGAGGAATACAATTTCTCGAAGGCAAACCCTCAAGAAAACAACACTAACATCTTGCAACAAATGCTACCTGTTCACAGTTGGGAGTTTCAGTATACAAAAAACTCAACGCAGAGAAACAGCACACAACTATTCCTCTAACATGCGCACTGCAGCCGTGGGAACCACGAAACGCCCTACACATCAGACCTTATTTACCTCCCGTTCTCTTTCAGATATGTATCCGAATCTGAATGAAGCAACTATGCAGGAAGAACAGCGGGAGGGAAGTGTCCACCAGGACACTAGTCTCACTACTAGCAGCGGACAGTGCACTGGAGAGAAGGAACGAGCGAAGGCAGGAAGGAGCTGGGCGATAAGCAGGGAATCAGCGCATAGGGGAGCTGGCAAGACAGTTGATGACGGAATGGATCAGCTCTGGTGCAATTCCAAAGCTGCCTGTCGAGCTTACGGATGGTGAGACTGCATCGCAAGCTCACGGCGTACATTATTCTTCACATTTCACATTGTCCGCGTAACTACATCTCTATTTAGAAGTCTACACTCCCGCTAGACCATGCGAAAGCTACCAGTTCTGCATCTTTTGTGGGAAGCACACCAATTTTAATTTGCGCGCCCACATAAAGAAACATCATGAGCAATGCAAAGGGGATGAGCTGGAGGTAGTGTATTTGCATTTTACTATGAGAAGATCCGGATAGAGAGGAAGAACGATCATTGGATTTCCCCATTCAGGTAGCAATGAGAATGAGTCGTGGGATACTAGAACGAACGAAAAGAGCGAGTGTCGATTTTAGTCCGGTGCCGGAGCCTTCAACCGACAGAGAATGGGATGCATACAAATCCATTCTGGGACAGCTAAGAGATGGCGGTGTTCCAGTTTACGGGGTAGTGCTTCACAGATTGATTCATTATTCACTTACTTTGACAACTTGAGACCACGTTTCAGACATACGAGCGACGGGCACTGCAACCTCAGCGTCAGGCAGGAATGGGTTTGCAAATGCAGTTCAGAGAGGAAGTTATGGAAGAGGCAGGGCCGTCTTTTCAAGAACCGTCCACGTCATCTCAACAGGTTGCGGTGATTAGACACTCTTGAGGAGTCCCGTTTGAATGGTATTATGATCCGCTTCCAATTTCAGTTTTTGCCGGAAACCTTCTGTGCCCCGTATATCCCTCGCGCATACCAGTACAGAATCAAGCACGACAAAGATTACAAAGGTTGGCTGGTAATGCGAGTCAACGAGTTCATTCGTCAAAGTCACGTTTAGGTGGATTCAATATACCATGCCCACTTTTTTGCTGAACCTCGCAGAGATTTGATGTTCGCTCACGAGGACGACATACTCGACTGCGACTACTTCATACAAGAGTACATTGTCTCAGAAGAGGGTGCGTTCGCAGACAGTCACCAGGCACAAATACCCACGGAATAGCTAAAATGTTGGCCTCTTTAAGGATGGCAGAGACGTGCGGATTCCTCACTCAAACTGTGGAGGAAGCTGAAAGAGGACAAACATCCGATTTTGAAGGCGTTCAAGGAGGAACTCAAAACATACGTCGTAAGAGTGTACGCTGTTAGAAGCTGCTCCTGTTTCGTATATGCCGCAAGTTTAGCTAGTTGGCACCCAACCGCCACAGATGAATGTTTTGAAAGGTTGCGAGGTTTACAGCACGTATGTTAGTCGATTCATGTTGATAGCAATGAGAGGACGTCAACGGTAAGCGGTGGTTGTTTGCGACGATTGCGTGCTAAGGAATATTGAGTCAATTGAGGTGCGGGAGAATCGTCACTATAGACGACGCATTGTTCTCCTACCGTATGATCCCGGATTTCCTGCGCATAACACAAGAGGCAGGGGTCACTGTCGGGGTCCGGTTGGGTTTCGTAAAAGCAATGATTGCATTCTTCAAGTTTCTGCGAAGGCACGTCGATCCAAGTATGTTTCGTAAACTTGTTTCCTATTATTAACATGGAGTATGTTGTATCTGAGCAGATGCCGGAAAACGTAGAAGAGATCTGGCAAAGGAGGCGTATAAGTGAGACATTACTTGAAGAATCCGAAACAAGAAGAACGGTCAGCTGCATCGTTCAAAGGGCTAATTCCTGCAAGGAAACCAGTGAAGGTAGCGTTCACAAGAACTCCAAACCAAGCTTATTCATTCCATTTTTGGTGCTCTCTAGGGCTACGTGGAGTATGCTGCAATGCGGGCGGTTGTTGATCACAGTGTCATCGACAGTGTAATAGAAGACATAATGAAGAAATTCTCCAGAAATGCAAAAGCTCTGCTTCATGCAGAGTACAATTTTGTAATGAGGTGCGCAGATAAAGTTTCCTAAACATAAAAGAAGAATTGTAGTAAATACAACGTCACCGTCTTACAGCGCTCTGATAGCCTACATAATGGTTTGCAACGCCACAAGAAATGAGGCCGCCTACAAAACCATTTGTGGCAGTGTTGTGGAGGTGAATACACAATCGATGGGTCTAATCAAGCATACACAAGAGACCAAGGACTACTGGGTAGAGTTCATCTCCCTTTACACATAGTGTTATTATAAGGTGTTTTCTGGCCAGCAAATCAGATCTTTGTAGGTTGCACGCTTTCCGAACCCTAAACAGCGTACAATGTCGCGCGAACTGACGAACATGCAAAAGTGGTCTTTTCGGGCTCGACAAGAAGTCGCATCGGTGGTTGCAGTACTACAGAAAACTTCGAGCTAGGTATGCCACTACTAACATTATCAGAATCTCCATAGCGCCGATTGTCTTTAGCCTTATGAGCCGAACGTGACCACATCAGCCGTGAAGAGGACCAGTTCTTTTTGCTGTGGAGCGGAGTGCCTGTGTCATTCTCGTCTGTTTCTCCTCTTCTGAGACACTTCTTCGAAATCCTCAACTGTGAAGAAATGGCTATCACATGCAATGCGGTTAGTAAGGAACTGTCAATGAGTGAATCATTTGAAAAGAAGTCAACATTTTGAAGGTGAGACATGCAGCAAGCACTTCACAATTCGACGCCTACATGGCTCAAAAGAAAGGAGATACATTGGACCCAGCTGATGCAAATGTAGCCATGTTGATGGGTTAGCCAGCATTTTGCTATCATCATCTTCTGAGAGGAACACTCACATCTTTTCAGGCCACACCCAAAAAACGCAGTTGCTTCACTACGTGGACGATTTCGTAGAGCCTGCTGTGAGAGCATACCGATGTTTACAGGCGATGGCCAGGCGGCAGCAAAACTTGGACGAGAAGGAAGTGTTGGCGGTCAAGCGACGAGTGAAATTCAGAGGGTATACAAAACCACTTTGACTGTTTCGCTCATCCGATGTTTCACTTTGACTCTTCAGATTTCATGTGGTGACAAACGATTTGTCAGAGGAGGAGGCTGAGCAGGACTGTGGACCTCGGGAACCGATTTCCGGAGAAGAGAGCGAGGATTCAGAAGAATCTGACATTGATGACGCCGACTACGTTCCCTCAAAGCCAATAGGTATGTTGTACACCTCAAAATTTGATTCATCAATTCAAAATTTGTTCACGTTTACGTTCCTATCTAGGTAAAGTAGGCGACACAACCTTAGTGGAATCAAGGAAATCTCCAAGGAAACAGGCAAAACCCTCATCACCAGTTGAATGGTACCTATTTCATAGTGTTGTTGTTGTTAATTCCTTAGCGGCAGCAATAATCAGAGCTTCTGCTTCAAAAGACAATTTCAGCACTAAGTTCGGGTGAAAGCGATGAAGGACCAAGGATGAAGCGATGGAAACCTGTGAAATTAGAGAAAAGCAGTAAATGGAACATCTTAAATTTTGTTCTGCGAAAAAACCAACAGACACGGGCGAAACTTGTTTGAAGACCAAGAAACAACCCTTTTGCCGTGAGTCGATGCTAGAGAAAAGAAACGCTGTACTAACACCTGTAACGCAGTCTGCAGGTCCGTTGTAAACTTATATTACTCAGTTAGGATTATAGACAAACTTCTACAACTGTTCAGGGGATCCATATGAGTTTTTCGATGAGGACATGGACGCCAACACAGCACAGGATACGCCGGAGCCGTCTGTGGTAGATATGGAAAGGCCAACGACAAGTAGAGAAGGTGATTGCATTACGACATAGTGAAACCTTACTTCCAGCTTTCTCAGCAATGATTTCGGTGGATATAAGCTGACTTTCAGATAACGACGACTCTCAGTTCGATGCTCCTTTACCTCAAAATATCACTGACAGAACATCATTGCTGAAGCGACGATACCAAGCCATGTTAGATGCGCTGCTCGGTAGATACGACGCTAACTTACCGCTTACAGCAGAGCGTCTGCTGCTGTGGGTAGGAGTACAAAGTGAAGTGCAAGGCTACCTTCCAACTGGACACATTTTATCAAATGGACAGTTTCGAAGCGTTTGTGCAGAGCAACTCAAGACTTTGCACAGAAAAGACGACGGTAAAAAAATCACTGTTCACTTAGCTTTTCCCGTAGCTTGTACGCAATTTTCTTTTCAGGTGGACCCAATGCTCAGAATTTATGAGTTCACAGAGTGCAATCAGCTATGCAAATTACTTGCTGTAGCTTCAAATGCCGCCTACCGGAAAAGCGCCTCAGTCGTACTGTTGTTAAAGTCTGTGAATGATCAGTCAGCAACGATAGTGCTGCTGGGTGAACTGATCTCTCCGCGGGCACCGAAGGCGTACAGCTCATGCGTGGGCTTTGTTGATGGCGACGGAGGAAAATGCTACCCGGTAAACCTTAGAAACGTATCACTGTTTTACCAGAGCAATTTGTGCTGCTCTAGGTTCGCGCATGTACTCCTGAGACAGAGGAATCGACACTTGTTGAGGAATTCGGCAGTGCAGAAGTGCTGCACTTTAGAACGAGAATGATGAAATGTGGGTCAAGCTGCTCTCCGAGACACAGTTGGAGCTGCAATACGCACTCGAAACCATGCGTCAATATCATGCACTGCAACATCGTTAGGCAATGCACGTTCTACGATTTAACTTCATCACCGGTGAGAATTTTGCATTTCATTTTGAGAGTGGTTTTAGTTCCGGTTCCTTTTATTAGTTACTGCAGTTTGTTCGTCTTATCGTGTTTTCAGAACAGCCAACTCGAAATACACGAATACAGTAGACGGGCATACTATAAACAACCAAACAATAAACAAGGAACGTATGAGTATTCACATTTTCTTGCACTTTGCTTTTTTGCTTATTCTTTTGTATTGCTACCGCATTAGGGGACGAAGGAAGGGAAACATGTTGTGATTACAAGCAAGATGAACGCTCACAATAATCAACTAATGCGGTAGCAATATAAAGAATAGGCAATAAAGCAAAGTGCAAGAAAATGTGAATACTCATACGTTCCTTGTTTATTGTTTGGTTGTTTATAGTATGCCCGTCTATTGTATTCATGTATTTCGGGTTGGCTGTTCTGAAAACACGATAAGAATTAATAATAAATAATAACTTATATAACCAATATATAATAATCGATAATAATAATAATAATAACAATAATAATAGTATAATACAGATTATACTATATGATGTACTATTATATATTACATCATTTATATAGATAGATATATATCATATATGATATATATATATATATATATTATATATACTATATATATTATATATTATATATACTACTTATATATATATATATATATATATATATATATATATATATATATATATATATCCAAGGGTATAGAAAAAATGGTGAAACACACCAAAAACGATGGTAACGTCAAGCAACTACGAAGTCAGCAAGGAGGTAAACGAGAAAACAAGAGGCAAATAGTGATGAAAGGTGAATGAAAATTCCCCATAGCTCAGTTAAGAGCCATAGTTTTCCTATGATAGCACTCTATTTCAGCTATGAACAAGTCCACAGAGCACGACAGAGTCACTTGTTACACACGGGTATCTGGTCACCTTAGTCCGACAAGAGATGTCGATCGGCAGAACTCGCTAGAGTAAACGAAACAGGAGCTGCATATTTCGCTCAACGATCCACATACACAAAGGACGTGTTCATTGCCATTTAACTGGTCGCACACCACAAATAAATGTTTTCAATCAAATGCTCAGTATAAGAGAGGTGTATATGTGCACACGCTGTACTTGCTTTGACGATCACAACCATTTTGAATCTGTTTAACAGCCGTTCCAGAAGTTTGTTTATCGTTGGCAATGCAAACCTTCCATATCTACAAGGTCATGGCACTTGTCTTGCTTCTCTGCAGCGAGCTTGGGACACCACAATCAGCACCATTCCTCGTACAAAGAGAACACATTCCGGCGACATTGAGTGAAGCAGCTCACGAAGAATTGCTACGTAATGGACTCCACGCAGAAATTGTTGGCGAGGTGGCAGAACGGAAGACTGAGTGTGGAATAGTGTTGATGGGTAAGCGCATTTTTGGAGCAATCGCTCTTCAGAAGACCGAACTTCACCATTCCAGATTACACTGGCTACGTTGACGGTGAGGTGTTCGAGATGGCGATTAGATCAGTCGAAGACGATCTTCAAGCAACCAGCAACTCGACTTTCCTGAATGAGACTCTTCGATACAAAGTCTGTGACAGTTTCGACGATAAGTGCAAGTATATGGTTATACATGATGTTTGAAGGTTTATACGGAGATGAAGGCAAAAATTCTGGCTGAACACAAAATCGGAATGAAGACACTCTTTGATGAACGTCGCGCCTCCGTACCGCTTTACAGGTGATTTTGTGAATTTTGTGTATTTTTCGATAGCTCTACTAAACCGCTGTGTTCCTCATAAGGCCCACAGGACTGCTTTCCTCGTATGCCGGAATCTTGACGCTGGGACTCGGAATAGGACTTGGTGGACTGATATTCAAAGGTCTGGAGAGCTTAATTGGACAGGGGAAGATCGATGTTCTTCAAACGGTGTGTGACCATTCCTCTGAGGATGTGCTGTGTTTGTATAACGATATTGTGTTGTATACCTTAATCCTAGAGGGTGAGCGAGGAGTGGAACACCATTATGAGTATAATAACACAGATCAGCAATAACAGTGACTCTCGAAACATCAAGGTAAGTACACATGAATTGCGGAGAGAAAGAAGTTGAAGTTTCAGTGGTGAAAAAATTACAGCTTACGATTCGGAATCGCGTTTTCCTCGGTGAAGGACAAGATACATGCAATGGTACATGACATGCTCGATCAGCTGTTCAGCTTCGATAGAGTAACGTCAGTGCTTATGCAGTCGTCAAGCAATCACAGCATACAGTCTGCTATTCAGCAGTTCATGGGAGAGCGTTTCCATAACACGCTGTTGAAAACGTACGGCAAAGTGGCGAGAAACGTGATAAAAGCCACGGTGCTCGGAATGAATCACAAAGTGATGGAGGTTGAGGTTAGTATAGGAGGTGTCATCGTAATGTGATGCTGACAGACAACTTCTCTACTCATTCAGCTTCTATATTTAATTAGCTTATATTATGCCTCTCAACGTTTCGCAACTGGATATCATATGGTAAAAAAATTGTTCCGTTTCGGCAGTAGAATCCGGTTTCCGAGAAAGACGAATGCATCGAAAGCCAGACAGCCAAGAATGAACAGATTCACTTGAAAACCTCGGCGTGCACAATAGCACCTGCCATACAAACTAAACTACCCAGAAAACTGGCACATGGGTTTTTCGAACATTTTTAGGTGTGTTACCCGACAACAGCGCTATCTGATGTACACTATCTGCTTCACGTGGAACCGCTCGGCCAATTCTCGAAGAACATGAGCTCATTTTCGACGTCTAATGTTGGAGGATTGTACGCAATGGGCAAAGGACAGACCAGTCTGGAGTTCATTCACTTCGGAAAGTGCAAGAAGAGAGCCTGTGTCACCGTGTGTCGTCTGTGAAATTATGCAACCTGCAGACGCAAACGTCGGATGCAGCTTACTTGCCGCGAACAGGCAGGACTGTGCTTCTGTCACATACAATTCCACAAGCGAAAAGGTGGATATCCTTGTTGCATCTATCCCATTCATATTTGTACTAATTACGTCATTTGCAGTTCCTACTGGTACGCCCGTTGACGCGTTCAGTCGTGATTGCGACTAGGGCGAAGGAAATGTTCTGGGCACCCGAGTACACAACCACTGAATGGCAGTCCCTCGACATTCGAGCACCTGTATTTGCTGTCAAAATACCGAAAGGGAAAATGCTGATGATTGGGTCCACGCACATCAGAGCACGTGTGGTTGATGGAGCATTGGACACCAATATAACGGTCATAATACCGGTAAGTCAGGCAAATTTTCCAATGCCATTGGCGCCATATGCAACATTAACCAATCAGGACTCAACTCCTCAACTTCCACCTGGTGCAAATCCGTCACATATGGAAACGGTTTCATGGACACGTAGTTTCATCTCCGTAGAATCATTATTGTGCGCGATGCTGATTGGACTTCTTTCGCTCATAATTATGGGAGCAATGGTAGTGATACGGTATGAGAAGAAGTGTAGAATGTTGGAAAGGAGAACAGATGATACCCTCCAATGGAGGCACTATGTAGACATGTACCGGTTGCCTGTCAGTACTGCACCACCATTCAATGGAAATTGTAACGCATGAAGGTTAAACATCACGAATAGTTACATTAAATTAGCCTTTGATTGAAGATAACTCGATTAATTTACTGTAAATGAAATTTTCTAGAAGTAAAGTTCCTCTAAGATACGGCAAGCACAAAACAATAACATAATAACGGGGTGGTTTTAGGAAAAGGCCGTTTCGCCCTCTCAACCACAGACAGCCAGGTGCACAGATGGGTCATCAATGTGGTCTATAAAAAAAGAAAAGCATTTTTTGGTGACATTTCGACACCCACGTAGATAACAATACATCACAACACACGCATACGCAAACATACACACCACTCAGCCAACGGAAAGAACAAAGGAACAGAGAAGAGGAATGGAAGCAATTGCTGTTGAGCTGACGAGGAAGCTGTGATGGGCTAGAATCCTTCAAAGTTCTGCCGCAATGCAAACTCCCGCCAGCAGAGCTGACAGCAAACAAAACAAGGGGGCTAGAAAAAAAGAAAAAGGGAAAACTGAATGGAAGGAGGTGAAGAAGTGCCAAATGTAAAGTTGAATAGGGTCAGAATCCATCAGGTTCTGCCTCAATTCAACCCCCACTGGCAGAGAACAGCGAAAAAAGAGGGGAAGGGGGCAAGAATAGAGGAAGTGGGTGAAGCTGAACAGAACACGCACACAGAGATTCGTACTCATTCAACACTCAAGAGAGGAATGAAATGGGGAATGCTGTCGTGCCAATGTAAAGTTGAATAGGGTCAGAATCCATCAGGTTCTGCCTCAATTCAACCCCCACTGGCAGAGAACAGCGTTATCTTAAATTATGAGGGGAAGTGTGGCATATGATATAGCGGAAGTGGGTGATATGTCTGACAGAACATCGGCATCACAGAGATTCGTACTCATTCACACTCAAGAGAGGAATGAAATGGGGAATGCTGTCGTGCCAATGTAAAGTTGAATAGGGTCAGAATCCATCAGGTTCTGCCTCAATTCATACCACTGGCAGAGATCAGCGAAAAAAGAGGGGAAGGGGGCAAGAATAGAGGAAGTGGGTGAAGCTGAACAGAACACACACAGACTCGTACTCATTCAAACACTCACACAAGTAGAGAAATGGGGAATGCTGTCGTGCCAATGTAAAGTTGAATAGGGTCAGAATCCATCAGGTTCTGCCACTAGTCAACCCCCACTGGCAGAGTGCAGCGAAAAAAGAGGGGAAGGGGGCAATGAGGGAGGAAATGAGTGAACATGGGAAAACAAAAGACCCAGCTACAAAAGAACCTGTCGAAGAAGTAGGAATAAATAGTGTCCTAGGGTGCGTGTACTTAGATACCCGGTGGGCGTGGCCAAAATAGGGCGAGGGCTTGACGTGGACGGATATAATTAGGCTTCAGCGCTTCTTCCTGAGCTTGGAGACGATAATTTCCTTCTTATTAAACAGCTGTGTGTTTCTACTGCTTGAACTAAGAAGTTCCGAGAGGAAGAATTAACTTAGATTGGAATTTATGCTTTTTGCAAAGGTATACATTAGGCAGAGGCGAAAAAGTGGTTATCAGGTCTTACGTATGATCATGAAATCAACATTAAGCACACCTTGAAGACAATAGGAACGTTTACCTTGTAAACGGTGCTCCCGTCTAATATCTATTGCAGCACAAATTTGGGAAACACCGGTCCATTTCGAAGCCTTGCCCTTGTGGCCACGCCCACCCGGGTGTCTAAGTACCGGCACTGAAGGCTTTCGATACGTTTCGATTGACGGTTAGGCGAAGGCTGTGGCGTTGCGCGAAACGCCTTTGATATGTATCCACGACGCGCGGTTGGGCGAAAAACGCTAGCCCGACCACCCCGGCGTTTTCTCTAGAGCGCAGCCTGCGAAATCGTAACGCATCTATTGCTTTTCGAACAACCGTTGAACGGCAGTTCGGCGAAACCGCGGTTGGTGATTCTCCGATCAATCCGTATTTTTTGCTTTTCGCCCAACCGCCGTTTCGTCAGGGTTCTAGAGGAACGCGGGGCCGCAGATTGGTGAACAATGCCTTAGTGAATCTTCTCTAATAAAAAAGAAAAAAAGTAAGCTAAATGTGTAGCTGCATGACCCTGCGCTTTTATTCCGTCGGGGCCACTAGCACGCGTACAACTGCGCACCGGGCGCCCCACCGTAAATACACGCCTAGTTTTAATGGGGACTTCTTTGCAGTCTCGTCCACTGCGGATGATCGGGGGTGTCGGTGGTTGCGTTACCCAGCCACATTCGTTCTTCACCATTTGTTGGGTCGGGCAAACAACATCAACTGGTGGAAAACGACTGATACGAACGATATTACGTGGCCTGTCGCTTTCCAAAATGAAGCAACCGATCGGCGCCGCGCCCACCAACCCATGTGGACACCCCCATCATCCGCAGCGAACCAGGCTGACTGTTGAGTGATCGACGTACCTAGGAATTTACGTGAATTCTTCAATACTAGATCAAACTGATTTTCGTAGTGTTTTTCTACTGTCCGAGTTCTCTAAATTTCAATCAGTTGATTTGTAGAGAACCCGGACCTGCAGAAAAACACCCACGGCGCATCGGCACTGACGCCTTTGAGCAGTTCTGTACAGAATTTCCTCTCATTACGTCCGCCCCTCCCCCCCCCCCCCCAACTTCAACGGCAAAATACATCTCCATGCTGGGGAGTCTCTAACGATGATGTGCCCTGGAAGGAGGGGGGTATGCAGCACATATTATTAGGTTGTCCGGAAAGTTCTCAGCGTTTTGGGTGTTTCACTTTAAACGATCGTAACTTTTTTAATACTCATCGGATTTAATCGAAATAGGCACCATTCGAATCAGCACACTTTTGCCAATGTGACAGCAGTCGAGAAATCCCATCAAAGTAAAAAACTGGGTGGTCGAGAACGAAATCCACGAAGGCTTTTTTGCCTGGTCCTGATTGATGAAGTATTTTCCAGCAAGGGAGTTCTGAAAATGTTAGAAAAGGTGATAGTCGGTTGGCGAAAGGTCTGAAGAATATGGCGGTTGAGGTAGAACTTCAACCCCCAATTCGTTCAATTTATGGATAGTGATTTGTGAAACGTGTGGGCGGGCGTTGTCATGCAAAGAATCGGACCCTTTCTTTTGATAAGTGTTGGCTGCATCTGACAAAATTTTCGGTACAATTCGTCGATTTCTTCACAGTAGGGCTGTGATGGTTTGGCCTGGTGATAAAAAGTTATAGTGGATCACACCAGCCGATGACCACCAAGCCGTGACCAGAATCTTTTTTTCGTGAGGGTTCGGCTTTGAAAATTACCTCGGTGGTTCGTCGAAATCCAACCACTGTCCGGAACGTCTCCTGTTATCATACATGACCCATTTTTCATCACAGGTGACAATTCGGCCCAAAAACAGGTCGTTTCTGCTGCGCAAAAGCAATGCAGAAGGAACCTCGAGACGTGCCGATTCCTGCCGGTCACTCCGATTGTGGGGCACCCAATTGTCGAGTTTTTTCACCTTCCCAATGCGTTCCAGACCATCTG